GAGAAGATACATTATATTCAAACCTATCTATCTATCTATCTATCTATCTATCTATCTATCTATCTATCTATCTATCTATCTATTTTCTATCTTTTATCTGTCTATCTATCATCTATCTACCTATCATCTATCTATTATCTATCATCTATCTATCTATCATCTATCTATCATCTATCTATCTAACTATCTATCATCTATCTATCTATCTATCTATCATCTATCATCTATCTATCTGTTGGTTCTGGGGATCAAATCCTGGGCCTTCTTCATACCACCCATCACTTTCTCACTGAGCCACACCCCCAGCCCCAGATCATCTTCAGATCCAGGAATGTGAACACGATAACAATCAATAAACAGGACTGGAGAGATGGCTCAGGTGTTAAGAGCACTTGATTCTCTTCCAGAGGACCCAGGTTCAGTTCCCAGCACTCACACCAGGTGGCTCACAACTGCCTCCAACTCCATCTCCAGGGGATACATCACCCTCTTCTGGACTCTAAGATCACCCGCATTCCTGTTCACACACACCCACACACAGACACACAGACACACACGCGCACACACACACATATACTCATAATTTAAAAATAAATTATTTTTAAAAAAGTGAATGGAAAGCTGGGTGTGGTGGTGCACACCTTTAATCCCAGCACTCAGGAAGCAGAGGTGGGTGGACACACAGAGTTCTTACACAGGCACACATACATACACCCACACACAGACACACAGAGAAGGGCTTACACAGGCACACATACATACATCCACACACAGACACACAGAGTTCTTACACAGGCACACACACATACACTCACACACAGACACACAGAGTTCTTACACAGGCACACACACATACACTCACACACAGACACACAGAGTTCTTACACAGGCACACACACATACACTCACACACAGACACACAGAGTTCTTACACAGGCACACATACATACACTCACACACAGACACACAGAGTTCTTACACAGGCACACACACATACACTCACACACAGACACACAGAGTTCTTACACAGGCACACACACATACACTCACACACAGACACACAGAGTTCTTACACAGGCACACACACATACACTCACACACAGACACACAGAGTTCTTACACAGGCACACATACACACACCCACACACAGACACACAGAGTTCTTACACAGGCACGCATACATACATCCACACACAGACACACAGAGAAGTTCTTACACAGGCACGCATACATACATCCACACACAGACACACAGAGAAGTTCTTACACAGGCACACATACCTACACCCACACACAGACACACAGAGTTCTTACACAGGCACACATACACACACCCACACACAGACACACAGACACACACGCGCACACACACACATATACTCATAATTTAAAAATAAATTATTTTTTAAAAAGTGAATGGAAAGCTGGGTGTGGTGGTGCACACCTTTAATCCCAGCACTCAGGAAGCAGAGGTGGGTGGATTTTTGTGAGCTCGAGACCAGCCTGGACTTCGTAGTGAGTTCCAGGGTGTCAGACCTTGTCTCAAAAATATATTTAAAAAATGGGAATTGTCAGAAGAAGGAAGGATCCAGAAAGTTTTAGGTGAGAGGGAGCCAGGTGGTTACTCTGACAGTCTCAAGAATTGACTGAGACAAAGAAGGAAGGGGTACATTAACAGAAGGTTCGGCATAGCCAGGAGCTATTTCAACAGTAAATACTTTCATACCTCATGACGCCCACCAAAATACATGTAAAAAGGAGAGTATTCCCTCACGAGCTACCACATGGATGGATCATGAGGGGATTTTGCCAAGTGAATAAACCAGGCTACAAGAGGACAAAAAGTGAGCCAGGGATGCACCTTGGTTGGTAGAGCGTATTCCTGGGTAACAAAGTCCTGGGTTTGATGCCCAGGTCTGTGGAAACTGGGCTTGATGTTTTTTCCCCCTATAGTCCCAGTACCAGGGAGGGGAAGTAGTTCTGCTGTGAGTTCGAGGTCAGCCTGGGCTACGTGAGAGGTCCCTGGAAGAGTTATATCCATAAAGACAGAAACTGGGACAGTGGGTCCCAGGGTCTGGGGAGGAGGACTGTGGGGGCAGCCAGTGTTTGATAGGGACAGACTTTCATTTTGGGGAGATGAGAAAGGTCTGTGGGTGGATGGCGATGGTGGTAATGTACTTAATGCTGCTGAACTTTTCTTCAAGTGGCTTAGATGCTGAGCTAAATGCTGTGTGTATTTTGTCACCACAGTGACAAAGTTTTATTAAAAGCAAGCACAGTAAGTTGGGTGTGATGGTGCACGTCTGTGATGTCAGCACTTGGGAGGTGGAGGGAGGAGGCTAAAGGCTGGCCTGGCTATGAGAAACAAAAACAAAAACAGAAAACGCATCCAGTAAACAAACACCTTGGTTATCCACGGTGACCTGGAGTCAGTCCAGAGACCATAGGTCAGGAAGGGTGGGCAGGTGTTACTGTAGAAGGATCTGGAGATAACTGCCAACCCTAATGGGCCACTCACACCTATTCTGCTGCTGCCTGTGATAGCTGGAGGGGGAGGGGTCCCCGGCTGGCATGGGACCGCTTGGAGTGAGGGTGGGAGCTGGGGCCTCGTCATCCATTCTGTGGCAGGGCTGGAATCCCTTTAAGGAGTCCCCTGCTCTTGTCATTAGTGTCACGAGCCGAGTCCCTTCGGGGAAGAGCCTCAGAGCTGGGCTCACTTCTCACTGGTCCAGTTAGCTAAGTGGACACCTGATGGCTGGGCCATCTGTGGCTGCTGCAAGGAATGACCACAAACCCAATTGCTTGGAACAACACCATGCACTGATTTCTTACATTTCTGGAGTCAGATGGGCCCAGTGGGCTGTTACCTGGTCCCCAGAGCTGTACCCCTGCAGGCTGGGGTAGTCTTCTTGGCTCCTTCCAGCTTCCAGAAACTCCGGATGTGTCCTCCCTCCTTGCTTCTGTCCACGTCTCACCAGCCCTGTCTTCTGACGAGGTCTCCTTGCCTCACTGTGTGTGCGTGTGTGCACGTGTGTGCATGTGTGTGAACATGTGAGCACATGAGAAGAAGATGTCATCCACACGCCTTGGAGAGGGGCCCTAGGAAGAAGCCACTTGTGGGCACTGTGATCCGACTCCCACATTTAGCACTGTGAGAAGATACTTTCCTGGTGTTTTAACCCTTCCTGGCACACTTGTTAAGGTCCATACCAGGCAGACAACGGTCCCTGGATGATGAATCTGCTGGAATCAGAGCACCATAGCTGGGGTGGAGGGGCGGGACTTGGCTGGAAACAGGAAAAGGGGGTGCTGGTAGGGTAGAAGGCCTGGAGCACCAGGCCAGGTGATATCAGAGGTATTTACTTTCCAACCACACCCCCAGAAATGACACATGCCGGTAGTCAGAGGTGGGAGAGGGATCCGAGGCTCCACCCACCCCACCAGGAGGGACCATAAAGACAGGCAGATCCAGCGCCAGCCAGACACAGTGACCCACCTGCCCCCACTGCCCACAATGAGGACTCACCTGCTTTGGCTGCTGCCCCTGACCCTGCTGGGATTGCCAGGTGAGCCACTGGGTAGCTAGCCCTGAGGACTGACTGGCATCCTGAGGGGTGGGCTGATCTGGCTGGACAGACCCCCAAATGATGCAGTCCACCTGCCCAGAGGAGGTGCTGGCACAGGGAACGGGACTGCTGGAGGCCTCGCAGCCAGTCTGTGTGAGCTGGGAGCAAGACCACAGTCCAGCCTCAAGCTGCTTTCACTCAAAAATTTTAGATTATTTTTTTATTCATGTGTATGTGCGTGTGTATGTGTGTCTGTCATGTGTGTGCAGTCTGTGGGGGCCAGAAGAGGATGTTGTATCCCTTGAACTGGAGTTACAGGCATTTGTGAACTTCCCAACATGGGTAGGTGCTGGAAACCATACTCAGGTCCATTACAAAGGAGGTACGAATTCTTAACAGCCGAGCCATGTCTCAGCATCTAAATCCTCTTTAATTACATTAGTTATTCTGTGCCCCCATGCCCCACCCCCGTATGCTCACGCCAAGGTGTGCATGTGGAAGTCAGAGGACAACTTTCAGGGGTCGGTTCTGTCCTTCCACCTTGTGGGATCTGGGGATTAAACTCAGGTCTTCAGGCTGGGCAGCAAGCACCTTTACACACCTCATTGGCTCCACTTACTTTTTCTCTTTTCTTTCCTCCCTCCCTCCTCCCTTCCTCCCTCCCTCCTCCTCCCCTTCCTTCCTTCCTTCCTTCCTTCCTTCCTTCCTTCCTTCCTTCCTCCCTCCCTCCCTCCCTTCCTGCCTCCCCTCCTTCTTTCCTTCTTCCTTCCTTCTTCCTCCCTTCCTTCCTTTCTTAGTTGCAGTCCATGAAGGGCTAGAAGGTAGTCTCTGCCCCTTTTTTTTTCTTTTTGACACAGGGTTTCCCTGTAGCCCCAGCTGTCCTGGAACTCACTATGTAGACCAGGCTGGCCTTGAACTCACAGAGATCCTCCTGCCTCTGCCTCCCAAGTGCTGGGATTAAAGACATGCGCTGCCATACCTACCCCCACCCATTCACTTCTCATTCACTGTGATGTGCTGCTGAACTTGCTGTGGCTTTTGTGAAGCCCTATGGAGTTGCCCCCATCTGCCTGTCAGGCTTCCACTGTGGCACCTGGCTGGGGGGGGGTATCACTAGCAGTGTGGGCTTCTGGCTCACAGAGCCTTGGTTTCCTGTCCTGGAGATGGGGCCCTGTGCCCTGGTATCTCAGTGTGTCTGTCCAGAGGCTGTCCACGAGGGTGGGTGGAGGACAGGGTGGGATGCTTGGTGCTTTCCACAGAGCTGGGTCTCATGCTGGTACGGCTGTGGAGTGGGAGGCCAGGGTAAACCCAGGCCTCCGTCTCTGACCCCAGCCCTGTTTTTGCAGCTCAGGCACTGAACTGTCATGAGTGCAAATCAACAGAAAGTTGCTACAACCCCACACCGTGCAACAACAGCAGCTATTTCTGCATGACCACCTGGCACAGTGAGTGCCCCTGGGGGTGGGTGGGTGCAGGGTGGGGTGGAATCTGGGGCTGTCAGCAGAGGGCGGGGCTTGCTGGTGGGATCAGAGGAACTGGAAGGACCCCCTTCCCCTGAGATTCACCAGCAGTCGTTCAGGCAAATTTTGTAAGGGAATGGGTAAAGGCCCTGAGCCTAGTCACGATCCTGAGTCCTCACCCTGGGCCCCTGATCCTGGTCATACACTGAGCTATAATCCTGCTCACACTCTGAACCCTGACCCCACTGACCTCTTGCTGTGAGCTGGAGCTTGCGGGTGGCCTGAGTTTGCTGGGGGGGGGGGGGGGGGGGATGGATATCACAACTCTCAGTAAAAGTTTCTCTTCCCTCTGTTTCCAGCGCCCCCAGGCTATGAAGTGGTTGTGATAAAAGCTTGTGCATATAAATGCCCCACTGCCCCAGAGAGCCTGCCCAACTCCAAGACCTCCTGCTGCAACACAGACCTCTGCAACAGTGCGGTGAGCCGCCGCGCCAGCTGGGGGCTGCTGGCCCTCGGTGTCTGCTGCCTCTACCTCAGACTGTAGGCGCAGACCTCCGTCCCACGTAGGCTCATGAACCGCAGAGCTTGGAATCCGGAGTTTGTTCCCATCCTTAGGCATGTGCTCTACCTCGGCCTCTAATGGGGAGGATTTCAGGAAAGAAGGCTTGTGGACTGGGACCCTAGGCGGATACCTCGGTGGGGCTCTTGCTGCTGTCCAGGGTGCTGCGTTCAGATCTGTATGGAGAGCTGGCCACCTGCTGGCCTCCAGGTGCTGGTGCAAAAAGGTGTTCAAGGCTTGAAACTGTTACTGAGCTGGGGGCAGGGGTGGGGTGGGGAGGCAAGCTTTGGGGACCTCATCTTTCTGTGCAACCCATGACTCTATCCCTCCAACTACCTCAGAGGACCTGGGCCTGTCCACCACTTCAGGGGAGTAGAGCCCCAGTGGTCTCCTGGCCCAGTGGTAAAGTGTGCTACTCAGTTGGGTCCGAAGACCGTTAGTAAACGGAAAGCCTGTGCAGAAGCCTCCTGTCTCGCTGTGGGGGAAGGGCAGCTGCTAAGCTGGGATGGATCCTCCTTGAGCATGGTGTGGGACAAGGTGCATCCCAGCTGTGCTGTCTGCAGACCCAGGACACCTTAGCCCCAAGATGGACCCTGAGGCTTCTCTCCTGGGACAGCACCAACCCCAGCAGGACCTCGGCTTCTGTGGACTGTGGTCCACTCTGGAGAAAAGTGCATCAGAATCAGGAGTGCGAGAGGTGGGCTTTGGTCAGCTCTGAGGTGACTTCCATACTCACTGGCTGAAGCCTGAAGTATTTCTTCTCTTCACTGCCCAGGTCCAGACCTCTGTCAGCATGCCAGTTCTTGTGACCAAACATCCTTCATTAAAGAGAAGCTGCCTCTCTCCCCAACATGTGTCTGTCTTTCTCCTCCAATCGGAAAGCCCAGGCAGCACCTCCCTAGGGAAATCAACAAACTCTGGGGAGTGGGAACAAGTTTTCATGGAGACACACTGGAGGGGTGTGCACTTATGGGATGTCAATCTCCCATGGTCCCCCCACCCCATGAGCTTCAGGAGAAAAGTATAGATGGAGTCCCCACTTTCTGCAGCCCCGGGGGACTGCTCGGACCTCGAGCATTTGTTAGGTCAGTTTCTCAACTGTCAGGACTCTTCCCCAGCTGGGCCCCTGACTCAAGTCATCAAAGGGACGCAGCCCTGGGAAGAGTTAGGTTACTGCAACCCCAGGGTTCGAAAGGTAGGTGGTGAGGTCCTGAGGTCAACGGATCCTGCTGAGCTGTGTGGCCCTGGGAATGTCTAGTTTCAGCCCACATCTCTGCCCATACATAGTCTCCTCCCTTCAAGAACTGGTGGGTTCCCTTGTCACAAGGATCAAGAGGCCTGGTCCTTCAGGTGTCCAGCAGTGGGTGACATGAGTGCCAAGGCAGGGGAACAAATGTACCCACTGGTACAGCTGCCCTGTAGGTGCCAGTTACTCAGCGGGCGCATGGGTCCCTGGTTGAAGTTGATTGGGGTCATGGGCAAGTGTGATTGGGGTCATGGGCAAGTGTGGGGCTCTCTTACCTGCAAGGGACCTCTGATTTGCCCTTCTAAGAGCCAGGGCTCCTCAGAGGGCTTGACAGTCATTCCCTTCTAGAGGGGTGGCTAAGAAAGGGGTGTTCATAGAGCTCCATTCCCCTTCTCCACATCCTCTTCCCACATCCAGCCCCTTCCCAGGGGAAGCAGAGGCTCAGCATAGCTCAAGACACAGCCTGTAGTGGCTCTTGATGCACCTTTCACCAGGCTGTGGGGTCCCTGAAGCCTGTGTCCCCGGCAGCCAGCTCAGGGTGCGGGTCAGGACAGGGTGAGCGGGCATCTGGAGCTCTGGCCTGTGTGCCTCTAGGCCCTTCTACCCATGTCCTCTGTGTCCTCTAGGCTGTAGGCTGCCCTGAGCCCTGGGGCTGGGCAGGTCAGGAAGGACACATGGATGCCTTGAGCAGTGAGAATCCAGTCCCCCAGCTTCTTTTTTCTGTAGAGCAGGTGGAGGGAGGCTGCCGGTCCCCCATGCAGGGCTGTGAACTGAAAGTGAACTGAGCAGAGATGGTCTGTCCTGCATCCTCACAGCTTTTCAGAGAGCCTACTTCCTTTCCCAATAAAGAAACACTCCGCAGGAGGGCCTCTGGGTCCTTGCGGGCTATGGACGCCCACATGGATGCACCGTAAAGTAGCTGTGTGCACGCTCAGTGCTCTCTCTAATATGTGGTTCTAACTAAATCCCTCCAAGCAATTCTGTGTATGGGTACTCACCTCTTACAAAGTCAAAGCAGATACACAGAGAGCTGAGAAGCAAATGATTGTGTGTGTGCGCGCGGTGTGTGTGTGACTGAGTGCAGGTACGGCTGTGTGTCCATGTGTGTGGATGCATATGGAGGCCAGAGGTCAAGCTTTGGCTGTTGTTTCTCAGGAGCTATGCACTTTGTTTTTTTTTTTTTAAGTCAGGGTCTGTCATTAGGACTTGGGGTTCCAGGTTTCCTCTGTCTCTGCCTCCCCAGTGCGGGGATGACAAGCTTATGCCACGACATCTGACTTTTATGTGGGTGCTGAGCTCGATCTCAGGTCCTCGTGCTTGACTGGCAAATGCTTTTCTGACCGAGCTATCTCCCAAGCCTGTCAACACCTTCTTTATCACATTATTGTGCCACAGTACAAATGTGGAGGAGAGAGGACCACTTGTGGGAGTCAGTTCTCTCTTTCTACCATATTGCCCCTTAGAGTCAAACTCAGGTCATCGGTACTGGCAGCAGATGCCTTTATTGGCTGAGCCATCTTACTATCCCAATCTCTGGTGCCTTTTAACTTGTATTTTGAAAGAATGAAAGTGTGTGGTCTAACCCTAAGAATCCAGCCTCCCCTGGGGCCACCTACCGACCACCACGTGAGGCTAATGTCTTTGAGATGCAAACCCATCCACTGCAGCTCCCTACAAGACAGATGCATCCAAACATCCTGCTGTTCTTCTAAAGTCAGAAGATAGAGAAATATGCCTGAGAGTTAAAAAGTGAAAATCACAAAAATCACAGACAGGTCCCCTGGGCTGCCTGTTCTGGTCGGTTTTCTGTTGCTGTGATAAACAAGACCAAAAGCAACTTGGGGGAATTATTTTAGCTTACAGGTCACAGTTCATCACTAGGAAGCTAAAGCAAGAACTCAAGGCAGGAACTGAAGCCACAGAGGGATTCTGACCGCTGGCTTGCCCAGCTACCTTTCTTACACAACCCGGGCCCACCTGCCCAGGGGAGGCACTGCCCAGAGTAGGCTGGGCCCTCCTATATCAACAAAACGCCCCATAGACATGCCCACAGGCCAATCTGATGGAGGAAATTCCTCAGTCGAGGCTCCTTATTTCAGGTGTGTCAAGTTGACAGGCATGGTTATCCATCACACCATCCTAGTCCTCCCTGCTCAAGGGGCAGGGGGATGACCACAAGGACTGTGGCAAACCCAAGCCTTACTTCTAAACACTTTTGTTGGTGCAGCCCTTACACACATCCACTGGAGCATCTTTAATGAGGGTCTGTGGCAGGCACTGAGCCTTGGGGCTAAAAGTCCATGCGTCTTGTAGATATTTAATGTCAATACCTACAGACACAATTAGTTCCCTAACATCCTAGGAGTCAGGGCTTTGCAAATCCCCTTTGATGGCAACTTTTAAGCTGCTTTTGACTTTCTGTCATTAGAACCTGTCTATTGTTTATAAACACCTTTATGGCAAAATCAAGGTATTTCTGTCAAATAGAACCCTGAATGTGGAATTCTGAAAAATCAGAAAACGTGCACATTTACAGATTTGGTTACTACTCCAAGTCAAACTCTTCAAAGCTTGTATCGGTGGGGGAAGATGGCTGAGCACTTAAGAGTGCCTGCTGCTCCTCCAAGAGGACCTGGGTTAGGTTCCCAGAACCCACATCACCTAGTATACAATGGTCTGAAGTTCCAGCTCCAGGAGATCCAACATCATTTTGAGGGCTCTGTGTTACCCCTCACATTACATACACTCACACACATACACATGAATAAAAATAAAAAGAAATCTTAAAAAAAAAAGATTGCACAGTCTGGGAGCCTGGGGGTCAAGGTCTGGCCATAGCCAGGTGGGGCAGAGGAGCCTGGGACCTCAGGTTTGTGCTGGCATTAGTTCTGGTGGGTAACCCCCTGGGTTTTTCCTAACCTTCCAGATAGGCGCTCAGAGCTTACAGTGAGTCAATGTTTGTCACTCACTCAGCACCCTCATCCATTCTGGGTGCTTTCTGTGGTGGTTTCCATAAATGGCACCTGATTTAGACCTAATCATGAGGCACCTACATGATGCTGTCTGCCAACTCTCCTCTGTGCCAGGGTGTGCTGTGAGGCCATGTGACTTGCACCAGAGCTGAGAGGACTGGTGACTGGCCACCACTCATCAACTCACCAGAGAGCAGTTCTGGTTAACAACTTGTGAGCCTCCAGTTTGCAGGCAGAGGCTGGCCCTGAAGTCCCAGATGTGAAGTCAGATGGGATCGTCAGGAAGGGCAGCTGGCTGCTGGCAGCTGAGCAAGTGATCTTAGTTGGTGCAGATCTCAAGGGTCCCAGAGAACAGCAGGGCTCTGCTGGAGAGTGGGACTTGGAGCTGAAGTTTGGAGGGCCACAGCTTTTGGATGAGTCCACAGGACTCCCACAGAGGGGAGGCCATCAGGTGAAGGGAGGCAGGGCAGCAGGACGGTGTGGGGAGCTGCACAGGGGGCCTTGGAAGTTCTCAGAATGGAAGGTGCATCCAGACAGGACTTCGTGAGTGATGGTGCCTGTGGGGCATGTGCAGTCCCCTTTGTGGCGTGCGCTGTCTCTCCCAGGGGCCTGTACAGCAGGCTTTGCAGGAATTCCATCCGTGTGTGTAACATCCCAGCCCATGAAGGGCCTTGGCATATAGCTTCTTGCTAAAGAGCCCAAGGCCAGAGTGACCTTTTAACACTTCCTCCAATCTCCCTCAATGCCTCCTGTCTGGTCTCTGAGCTCCCCAGACGGGTGGAGCGGGGCACTTGTGCAGGGTAGCCTACAGTTAGGGTCCCATCAGCTGAGTCTGGTCTTCTCTGTCCAGAATCCCAGTGATGGCTGGCTTCCTTGGCAAAGCTTGCACATGATGGGGACCCATTGCCACCGAGCCCTCGTTGGGAAGGCCAGGACTGAACTGGAGCCCGTTGGGGGAGACAATGGGGACTGCTGGGGAGGGTCTTTCTACTGCCAGCGCCAATGTCTAGGAAGGCCCTATGGGTGCTGTCTACTCCTGGCTCTGGGAGTCTGAGGTGGTCACTCAAGTCCATCACTCCTAGGCTATGCACCAGGAAGTCTCCTCAAAAGAGCTGGTCTTCATGGCTGGTGGAGCACACAGGGACTGGGATGTTGACACTGGGGTGGAGCACACAGGGACTGGGATGTTGACACTGGGGTGGCCTGTGCAGTGCTGACGTAAGGTGGCTAATTTCTCAGGATTCCAGGAAGCTGAGCAGGACATGTCTTGCTTTCCCTCACTGTCAGCCAGAGGCCATTATTAGCACTTACCTGTCTTCTGACTGTGACCACACACCTAACAAGACACAACTTAAGGAAGGAAAGGTTTATTTGACTCCTGGTTTGAGGGGATGCAAGTCTTCCCCATGGTGGGGAAGCCATGGTGGTGGGAGTAGCTTGTGGTAGTGGTGGCAGGGGTGTGAGGCTTCCTGCTCACACAGGGCTGGACTCTAAACCTTAAGGCTCACCCCTTAGTAACCGACATCTTCCTGCTATACCCTGTCTCTTAAAGGTTCCACAATCTCTCTTAACAATGCCACCCACTGTGGACTAAGAGTTCAGACACGCGAGTCTGTGGGGG